TTGAAAACTTGAGTTTACCGAGACACATCTTGATTCTGTTTCGCAGAGTCATTTATATAAATTTTATTGAAGAAATCATATTCCGTAAATAAATTTAGGCTAGCGTAACTTCCAATAAATATATTATACCATAAATTTAAATATCAACTTATTTGAAACTTGAGTTTACTGAGGCAGATCTTGATTCTGTTTCGCAGAGTAATTTATATAAATTTTGTCGAAGAAATCGTATTCTAAAAGTGATTTTTGGATAGCAAAATTTTAAATAAATTGATTTTTTCATAAATTTAAATATCAACTTATTTGAAAATTGTGTTTATTGAGGCACATCTTGATTTTATTTTGCAGAGCCATACATATAAATTTTGTCAAGGAAATCGTATCCCAAAAATGATTTTAGACTGGCAAAATTTTCAACAAATTAATTTTTCCACAAATTTAAATATCAACTTATTTGAAGCATGAGTTTATCCATCTGTGAATTTATTGAGAGCTATAACTGGCATGGTTATAGAGTTGATAGTCAAAACAAACTCCGAAAAATATTGTAGACCTATAGGAGGTGTCGACTGATAAATATAAGAGCTTTTAGGTAAACCAAAAATAAAAAATAAACTTTTATTACTGGTTCAGTTATTATAATTCATTATTACAAATTATTTGTAACTTTATCATTAAAAATTAAGTTTTAAACATAAATTCGTTTGGTATCGTAAGACATAAGATGTGCCTAAATGTGTATTTTATTAAGTTCAGTTCAAAAATGTAAATTTCAATATATAAAATGTATTTTATATAATGGTGGATTGGTACATAAGTCTCCCCTTGGGTGTTATACATCTTCATTGAAATTTTACACCAGTACATTAATATGTAACATACAAGTAGAAAACAGTGTATTGTATTTTTGTGAGAAAAAAACAGTTTTGCCCGTTCTTAAAAAAATCACACATCAGTATTTAGCAAAGTAAAAATGGTACTAATTACATTTGTAGTTGGATCAGTATATAGCTTGGCATGTCGTGTGTATCAGTAAGAAATGTGACTTAATTTAAAAACATTCAATTTATAAAAATAAAACATACTGTTAACAATAATTTAAATTTTACTTTATAGACCTAGTTTCATTGAGGAAAAATATATGAAAAAATGTACCTATATAACACATTTTAGGAAATATTGTATAAAATTTATAAAGCAATATTTAAATGTAAGAACACCAATTAAATATACCAAAGCTTATGAAAATAAAAGTTGTTATTATGTAGACTACACATATTAGGTAACAAAACATGGAATATCCGTAGTCCTTGTGTGTTCAATCGAAATTGCATAAACCACATTTAGTCAATTGTAGTGCAGTGTTCTGGTCTCATTATTTATCCCGGACCATCTATTGAACATTTTCGACAGGTATGGGGTTTTTGGAGGATACAATATATAGCTTATATACATACATTTGTATATATATATATATATATATATATATATATATATATATATATACGCAAAATGTTCTTGCGCTTGAACGATTCCTGTAACTTGAGCATCGGAGCACTGTCTTTGCTTCCTGTTTTCACAAGAAGCCCAAAGCAGGACCGCATTATCTTAAAGCTTGAATGCACAAGATATAAAAAGCTCGATAATAGGCTATTAATTGCCATGGTGACTTTGGTGACATAGAATTTATCTCCCATACATGGTGTTAAATACTATGCTGTCATGAAGTGGCCAAAGATTTCATTTACTTTTATTTTTTGGTAAATGAGATAAATGAATGTAAATTAAATTTACTGAAAAATAAAATATTGAATTGACTATATAATGAGTATAAATTAAATTTACTACAAAATAATTGCACCCATTGTGTTAAAGTTGTCTGATATTAATAACCATGGTCATTATACTTCTATGGTTTAGAATAAATCTCGTATATATTAGTGTTAAATTGCTTATGGTCGCTAAATTATGCATTAAGTTTTATTTTTGTTAGTTATATAATTAATTAAATATAAATCAAATATCCTAACTATCATAATATTTTTTACTAAAGTACTTCAACAAGTATATCATGGTTATTACGTTGAAACTAATTGTATAAATCAGACACTATTTATCACGGAAACTTTGAAAACTAATGGACAATTTTCCCGTAAAACAGACAAATGCAATGGCAAGGCTATGTTACGTTGCGTTTTTCATATAAAAAGGTACTAAAAACTGTAAAAATGCTATGTATTTTATATGCGATTAGCCTTTTTACACATATCATGAAGATGCACTTTATCATAAAGATTTTTTTAGGTTAGGTTTTATATCTAAAACGAACAGAATTTGTCAGTACAGCAGGCACATAGCATATTAATAGTTTTTAGTACCTAGTACCTAGTAGATAGTATTATGTTGCGTTTTTCATATAAAATGGTACTAAAATCTGTCAAGATGTTATGTATTTTTTGTGCGATTAGCCTTTTTACACATATATCTAAGTTCTCGCATATATTACATCACATCATGAAGATGCACTTTATCATAAAGATTTTTTTAGGTTAGGTTTTATATCGTTATAACGAACGAACAGAATTTGACAGCATATACAGCAAGCACACAGCATATTGATAGTTTTTAGTACAATTTTATATGAAAAAACGCGGAGTGACATAACTTTGCTATTACATTGGTCATAGGAATATTATTGATTCATAAAGTTAAAATCAATATAAGAATATATCTTCAATGCATTACGTTGAAAGTTGAAAACCCTAATTTCATGCAATGTACTGAAGTTTTGATGTGATTTTTTTTTAATTTGATAAAAAAATTCTAAATATAGTTATTGCAAACATAACAACAAACACACAAATACCACTCTTTTTACCTATTATTTAAAAAATGTTGAAATGCTTTAATTTAATTGCACGACTTTTATCTTTTGGCTATGTACGAAAAATAATCGAAAAATTAGCAGTACGAAGCACATTCGAAATAATTAATTTTAAAATAAAAAAATAAATTTAAAACCAATAAACTATTTAATAAATATATTAAACAATGTTAATATTAATATGAAATATAAATGTTTAAGTATTATTAGTAATGTTTTATTATTACTATTTATTCAATGTCATAGTTATGCACTTTTCTAAAATAAGGTGTCGCCATCATTGATCGACTTTTATCGATTAGGTGTTTATATGAATTCCTTATAAAAATGTTTTTTGATTTGTTTGAATTGATTAGTAGAAATAAAATAATTTTATAGGAAAGGTCTTTTCCTGTTTTCATAATACAGAAATTGCTAACGTGCAGACCAAAAACGAATTCATACAGAAATGATTGACATGTATACTATAAATAAAGGATTGTTCTATTTCATAAAAATTTATATACAAAGTTAGATTATGCAAAAAATTCTAATTAAAATTTAAAAAAATATTTCCAAACAGTTCATTTACAATCCGTAAATATCTCAATTAATAGAATAGATTATCGATAAATTGATATTTCTATTTTTGGCCTGAAATATGAGTTTCTGATTTATTGATGGTATATTTTCTTCGACTCTGATAACTCGCCGAAGAAGAAAGATACCCCAGCATCACTATTTACATAGCCGGCAACCCTTTTTGCATTTATAACGCAAGTGTATAGTACTCCGGATATATTTATCTAACGGTCTGTTTTCTAATTAATTAACAGAAAAACTAAACAACAAACTCCTCAACTCAAAAAGCTATCGGAGCGCGATTTCTTCGAAGCAGCTGGTTTATCTTGGGAAATATCGGACAAGTTTCTTATAACTCATAATTATAATAAAATACGTTTTATATTTATATAAGTTACTTACGAAGCGAATGTTCAATAAGGTATACGTGGCATTTTGTAAATAATCGACATAATTCATTCAAATTGAGAACTTTGAAATAAAACTTTGAAAATTTTGAATAAAAAACGCAAAATTTTGTTCCCATCCTTTGTTTTAAATTTCATCAATCTTTAATAATTATGCTTATATTGCTGTTAGAATATTTGTTAAGACTGTAAATAAATTTTTATTAGGTGTAAGTGGCATTAAGCCTAGGAAAGTTGCACGAACTTCCCAAAATCTGTAAATAAACCATTCAATCTATAAATATTTGAATTGAATGAATCATATAAATTTCTAAATCCTTCATAAAGCATTACATAAAAACTGCTAAGTATAATATATTCAAAATTTCTGAACTGAAAGAGTTGATCAAGTGAGTTTGATAAAGATAAATTCACTGAAGCTTTAAGTGCTTTAGACATATTGAAATTGACTTATCTATTTAAATTTAATTACACGGTCAATTTTGGTGAAATAATTTTCAAGTAGATATACGAGAATCGTCACCAAACCAGAATAATTCGTGGAAATGAAATGAGAATGAAATGTTTTTAAACCATTCAAATCGTTTTATGTTTTGTACCAAATAAAATGAAGATTTTGAGCAATTAGCAATATAGTTCAACATATGTAAAATATAAATAACTAACTATAAACATATACAAGCTTTTATGAAAAACTAAATCACTTTAAATTTATTACAGATTCCTTGAATAGTTATATGGAATAATATAAAATAGTTGTGAATAAAGTTTGCTACAAAAAACTTCGATTTTCATTTGATATATTGCCTTTGAAATTTCACACACACAGATATATATATATATATATATATATATATATATATATATATCGTGTATGAAATAGAACTTGGCAATATGAAGGAAGTGGTAACTATGTTCAATTGAAGTCAAGCGGCAGAATATAATGATGTGAACCCAAACTAGGTTCAAAATATATGTACATAGATGTGCATATAGATACTCAAACACAACCCGTTTGAAACCAAACTAAAACAACATATTGCTTTACCTACTAATTTAACAAATGGACTATATAAATAAATGAAATAAATATTTCATTTGATATCAGATAAAGAAGTTTTACTGATATAGATTATAATTCTACTCACGATATAATTTGATTGTCCCGTCTGTGTCACCTAAAGAATTTTTTGCGACGCATTTGTAAGCTCCGTAATCCGTCGATGTGACATCCTTTATTGTCAATTTCATGACAACTTTGTAAGCATTATCCATGAGAGTTGTTTCAAATCTGCCACCTATAAAAATATACATATATAATCCACCTATTACTAAAATAATGCACCTATATGACGGATTATATATGACGGATATAAAATTTTCAAAATAGAAACTAGTTTAAAACTTCAGTTGGAAAAAGGTGTATGAGTGTTAAACTCATAAAATAAGTACCTATAAAAAGCAAATACTTGATAAATTTTTCAATATAGAGTATACAGAAAATTAAAAGCTGAGATGTTTTGAACAGAAAAATATATGTAATACTAGCAAACCGGGCGAACTCCGTTTTGCCACCAGATGGTTTCAATTTATGTAACATTTTGTTTGGTGATAAAAAGATGAAGAAAAAATTTGCACAATACACGTAATTAATTTGATGGTTTCCAATTGAAATGTTAGAAAAGGAATAACTTAATTTTTTTTACTTTTTTGCACAATTTCACAGTGAACACAATGCCGGTTTGTCACATGAAATTAACTGAGCAGAGAACAATGAGTAGCCGTCAAACGAATGATTAGCAGTCAAAAAATATTAGTTTGTATTACATGCTAAGTATCAGAGATGGAAGAAAAAGTGTTTTCCGCTTTTCTTTTGAAATCTGTCTTCAATTTTTTTTGCTATAAACCTCGCGGGGCCGAGACCTTTGCAACGAATGCAAAATCGTCGAAATCGGTTCGTGCGTTCTGGAGTTATATCGTCAGGAAGGAAAACCCGACTTATTTTTATATAATAGATATGTAAATTCCAAAAGTCAACTATAAATAAAAAATAAAATGATTGTGTTGTTTTATCTTAAATTTGCACCATGGTAGAGCAACAATGACATCAATAAATAATTAGCATAGAAGTAAAAACATAATAGTTCAATTTAGACTTTATCAATCTATATCTGATTTCAATAAAAAAAAATCTAAAAAAGTAATATTTCAACATTTAAGGAATTACCCAGTTACTATTAAAATATTCTCTAAAAATTAATATTTATGAGTACCACTACTTTCTTTTGAAAAAGTACTCAATAACAGGAAAACTATATAACTTTAAATTACATTCAGTTTTTATTGTTTTAGTGTTGAAAAGCACAAGTGAAATTTTTATTCAAGATCTCAATGATTGCAGATTCAATGCATATCGGTCTTGATATACCTTGATAGTCCAAATAGCACTCTATTGAATCTCTAAATTCGCTATTTGCATGCACACAAACGTTTAATAAATAGTGTCAATTTGTAGTAATAAAACCTGCTTTAGATTAAACCAAATCGTAACATAGAATAATTGTCCGGAAAATTATTTAGTAATTGAAAACAGTTAAATTCGATTACCGTGCGCAATTATTTCGCCTTTCTCTCTCGTCCAGTAGTTTATAGATTTTGGATAAGCTTCTGAATGACATTCCAATGTTAAAGTCTGACCTTCGGAGGCACCCACTAATTGATTCTGAATCCAGATCATTGGAGGAACTAAAAGACAAAATTAATAATATTATAATAACTAATTGCTTTTTTTATTTTGTACCAAAAATTATAGAAGTAAATATAGAAAATTGTTATTTTTACATCTAATTTCTCACATAAAAAATACACATAAATTTAAAAGAAGTGTTAATTAAAGCAAGGATGATTAAATCATTTTTGTTGTTTCTAGACCATTGAAAGAAGTCATTACATTGTACTTTGTACTTAAACTAACAGAAAAAAATCTAACTTACAATATACTATGAATTATTTATTGCACTGTATAAAATTATATTATTATGTATTAGACGTTTGATATTTATCATATATTCAATATATTAGAAGTTTAATTGAAAATAAAATTTAAAAAACTATTTTGGTTACGATATTAGTGGAAGAACTGCAATATAACATTAATGATATTGCAAGAAAATCATTACATTTTAACTTGTAATAAAAAATATAGGTAAAATTTGAGTTAACTATAAACTATATAATGTTTATTGCATATGAACAATATACCTGTCATACCAGTGAATGAGTGGTTATAAATCAAATTTCGGCAAAAATGTCTCAAGTGATGTTATTAACTATATCTCTGAAAATAGTTATTAAATTGCAAAAATCAAGCCTTTCAAGCCTTGCAAAATAGTAAAAACTAATTTAACCACACATTCACTGGGATAACAGATATAATGTTAAATAATATATTTGATAAAGTTTTAGTTTGTGTTCCGAGTTTATTGGATGAACTGGAACATGAAATTAGTAAGATTATGTGACAAGCATTACTAGTTTATTTTCACTAATTTTTATATAAAAAACTTAAACTTACTGTAAACTGTACACGATTTTGTACTTTTTTGGATAAAAGTTATATATCACGTTATAAAAGATTTTTAATTTTATATTTTTGACAAAAATGTATTGTTTCTTGATGTAATTTATTATTTATTACTATTATTAATAAAATATAAATTTTATTTTATGTTATTTTAACACTAAACATACCATAATGGGTCAAATAACCCATTTTGAATTTGTGCATTGAAAATGCACGTATAATTTCATTGCGTTTGCACATGACCTTTTTTAGGTAATTAAAGTACAGTTATAAAAAAAAATTTTTGTTTAGTTTTATTTATTCCTTCTTGTATACCGATATCTACCACAATGGGTCATTTGCCCGGAGAGAATTTTTTGGTTTATGAGATTGTCGAGTCATATTTGTAATCAGTAAGTTGCACATTCTTCTAAAAACACTGCTGCGTGAAGTAGTTCAACGAAAGCAGCTCAGAATAATTTCAAGAAAATATTAAATTTTAGATTAAAAATAGCTTTTTATTGTTAGAAAAAGTGGCAGAAATTGAAAGTCTTCGTAAGTACCTAGCTTATATTTTATTTTGATAGCTATAGTAATACAGGTTATTTTTTTAAAAGACAGTAGAAGTTCTTAGAAGATATAAATAATATTGGCGAAGAGTTTTCAAAAATTAGTGAAAATGAGTTTTCTGAAAATGAAGATATATTGGTTGAAAATAAGAATGAGTTTGATTCAACAGATACTGACGATGAAGAGGAAAATATTGTGAATGTATAGCGCAATCCGAGTTAAAGATCAAAAATGAAAATTTGCGTAGAAACCACTAGTGTTCAGACTATTACTTTAATGCTAAAAAGGGCAAAAGACTGCTGCTTTCCTAATGAATGCACATTTCTTCATAAATATAATTTTTTAATAATATATTTTACCATAATAAATAATAATAAAAAATAATTATATAGTTACAGTGTACGATAAGCATGACCCGCTTGCTAACAGAGGGCGGCACGCCGTTCGTTGCAATACAAAGGTAAGGCCCCATGTGCAGTCGGTTCACCCGCGTTATACTAAACACTGGCCCTTCGACGCTCAAAACACCTGGAAGGAAACAAAACAATTAATTATGATGAATCGAAGGACTATTATAATTTATAATAGTAATACATTTACTAAATCACTATGATAGAGGGTCCATAACTTATATTACCACAATAATATTATCGAAATGATAAAATAATATATAAATCCACTTTTATTGGTCTAACTTTAAGTATTTTATTTTCTAAAAACCAGAGATCAAATACAGGTTTTCCCTCATATAATAGTTTTCCCTCATATAATAGTATAAATATATTTATAAATAAAAACATATATGAAATGGGGAGTAGCACTACTTTTAGATTTCTATCAAAACTGTTATTTTATATAAGTAATACAATGTAAAATAGAATAGCTGATTAAATTAATCGGCCAGCGGTGGCGATATCGGTTATAGCGTGGGCTAGCAGCAACTAGTCCCAGGTTCGCTGGTTCGATTCCCGCTACCGCCGTAGCCCGACATCAGGCAGCTTTGATGTCAAATTTCCACTTAGGGTTATCGATCACAATATAATTCCAAGTGGAAATCGTCCTTCGTCATAATAGCTGCAACACCCAATCACATGTGAACAATTAGACGTAAGAGCTAATATCAAAAATATCCCCCACTTAAAAGAATGGTAAATCGATGGATTGCCTCTCATGAAATAAGTAGTCATAAGTCTTAACCAACAGCTTATAAAACATATAAGAGTTCTGATTGCTAAATTACACTAAAAAAAATTAATATGTCAAAATCAAACAAAGAAAAAGATAAAATTTTGAAGCAGACCATAAACTAATACATCAAGATCTTAGTATTCTAATTGTGGAAAAAAAATAAAAATTTCTGCTTCAGATACAAGGCACGGTTAAGCCGACATCCAAATCAACTAGCATGTGACCTGCTCAAGCCTTCACCACCAAAACGTATTAAAAAAAGAAACTGTAATGAATTATTACATCAGTTTACGTAAAATTTAATGCTATAATTAAAGAAGGTGCTATCACAGAATAGCTATCCTTCACAAGCATGAAATTCAAATTATCTGTAAAATTAGCTGATTTCAATTATCTGTAAAATTAGTCATTTCAAATTATCTGTAAACGTAGCTGAATGTACTTATTGTATAGTTTGCTATCTGAAATAAAACTACAGTTTGCTATCTAAATGTCAGACATATTGTTAACGCCAAAAAATCAATCTTAGTCTAAAAACGTTTATATACAATTATTTCAATACTTTCATACATGATAGCAATGATAGAACCTAATTCTTAAGTTGCTATTTTAAAATATAAAATAACAGAGTTCTTTTGTATCGCATTCATTATATTTTTTTTGTCAAATTTCATTTGTTAAACTTGCGAAAATGAAGATAGAACATTAAATATTAGATGCACTAAAAACAAATATCCTATTGTACTAATCATTTTTCTTATAGATGAAAGAAAACAAATAATTAATATATCACCCGTAGATCCAATATAGTTTATTTATAAATTTTCTTTTCTCCATATTTGTCTTTAGTTTTTTATATTAGCTCTAGTAGATACGCCATTCTCTGCTAAATGTAATTATTTTTATAGATTGCATAATAAAAATAAAATAAAATAAAAAAAGAACTAATAAATACAAGACTCAACAATGACACATATATAGTATAACTTTTGCTCAATATTCGAATTGTTAATTAATTTAATGATCTATTAATAAGCTAGTAGAAGAATTATTAGGAGTTTTAAGTTTTGTTGTTAATTTTAAGTTTATGTTAAATTAGTTGATTTGAAGTTTATATTACAGATATCACAAATTACTTTTGTGATTTACACCAAAATTATATATATATATATATATATATATATATATATATATTATAATATAATATATACGCACGTACTGATAATAAATACCAAATATAATTATTCCAAGGAAACTAGTGAATCAATGATAATTAGTGAATCAATAGTCTTAATTTCGACGTCTCATCAGATACCTTTCAAAATGTGCACTATCGAATTTGGTATTCCAATAAGCGCATAGAGCTTTGGAAATAACCAGAATTAAACCGTTCCAAATCCGAGAAGTAATCCTCCACATGGCCGGTGGATAGATAGGGACACAGTCCAAGCAATTCGCGATCTAACGCTGTTTGCAACCTATCATATACCTACGTTATTCTGAAATCTAGAGATATTATAGTCATACCCGAAGTGCAATCTGTGACCTGAATATTTGAATTAATCCTGGACTGTTCGGTAAGCCTGCAATAAGCTTCGCCAAATGTTGAATCTTACACGAACAAGGGGATGTGCGCATTCGTGTAGGCATCGTGTTTATGCTACAATGATTCATTGCATGGCAGAGTGTGCAGTTTATTTGCTTGTGCAAAATTACGAAGTAATCTTTAGTTTGTAAATAATTTATTTCTAATTTACTCAACTGTGAAATATATCGTACTTAATCTTTTTGATAGTTACATCATTTACAAAGCTGCTAATTATTATATCATTTTATTAACAACGTCGACTGTTGACTACGAGAGTATATCGCACTAGGATACCAACTACGGGTTATTTTCTAATAATACAATGTGATTAAAACGTGTTGCTATTTTTGACCAGATTTTTTAAAATTGCCTCGGCAGTCAACGTGTTAATATAAACGTAAAATTAATTTAATGATTACAATGTCATTTTATAAATATCAACAAATTAAACATTTAATCTATTGCAAAAAAAGTTCTGTTTACCATAAATCATTATATGTTTTGTGAACCTAATAATGTAAAATTTACCTTTACGCTGTGTGTAACCATTAAAGTATCTCAAAACATTAATAACCATATTTTAATTCAGATACATATCTGAAAGCAAATCAATCTCATTGTTTTTAAGCTAAATTACCAGCGACTGCGTTTTACAATTTAGAAAATATTTTGAAATCAAATACAATAGAATTTCGTTAGTCCGGCTTACTGGGAACCCATCCCTTTCTCGGACTATCGAAAATTCCGGACTATCAGCCATAATTATAAAAACAATTAAGTTAATAATTAAATCACGAAATCAGTAGGAAATACAAAGCAAAACAAATAAGGGTTTTATAATTTTTTCTCCATAATTTATTTAATTTATATAATTTGTATTATCAATAATGTTTCGATTATTTAATAATGAATTGTATTTTCATCGTAAGATAGATATACAAAATTCTTTAATTAGTCACATGTTCTTTATGTAATATAATATTAAATAAATAAATCTTCTCAAACAAAAAAACAACAAAGCGTATTTTACATTTATTATATTTTATATATATATATCTATCAATTTTTGTTTAAATTTTTACAAAAAACAAAATTTTCATGATTTTTAGCCGTTCGATGATTTCTAGATTCAGATTTAGAGTTGGTGTTATGTGCTTTGGTTTCTCTCCTTTTAAATATCAAAGCTTAAATTTTGAAAACATGGACACATCTAGGTGGTTAAATGTACTGATAAATGTGTATTGTGCTGCTGTAATCAGTAGACTAACTTAAAAAAAAAAAACGAAGTCTTCATAGAACGTAGGGGCTACGTATTTCGTAGAACATACTTTGTTCATGAACCTAGACGCTACTAAATTTACCATGGACACGACGAATTTCGAACAATTGTGCGTCCTTGCAAATGATTCCGAACTACCCTAAAAACTTTCCAATAGTTCTCGAACATTTTTAATAGCTATAAATGCACATTTTTGAAAAAACGAAATTTTAGAATAAAAGCCGGACTATCAGGCATTTCGGACTGGTGCATGCTTCTACTAAAATACATTGTGATAAACCATAAAACATAATAAATTTATTAATTTTGCTTAACTTAATGTCATCATTATGTATTATAAATGGATTATCAGATGTGGAAATTTATATTATTAGTATCAATTATAAACTTCAAGTTTTACAATTAATAAATTTGCTAATAAAAAACTACCAAAAATAGTCTAAAAAAATATTATTTTGGTTTTACCATCATTTTGAGACATCAAGGGTATCAGTTCACCGCCTTCTCTCCGCCAAACTATGGTTGGTGTCGGTGACCCAGTGGCGGCGCAGCGTAAGGTCACATTGCTACCTTCACGAACGACCATATCTGCACTTGTTGGATAGTCTAGAATATCAGGCGGCACTGAAAAAATAAAATAAAAAAAATATTACCATTTGTATATTTGATACCAACATAAGCTAATTTGTGTATTTTTGGTTTATCAGAAAAATGTACTGCAAAAAGATGTTTTTAATTATATAGACTAATTAAAACTCATGCAGATAAAATGCGTTTCAAGTCCTATTTTACTACTACTTGGATTAGTGATTAAACAATTACCAACAACATCTAGGTATCCGACTTGGCTCTTCATGGGATCAGTGTTGATCTGACACATGTACCATCCTCGATCGGACTCTCGAACGTCCCTCACCCTCAGAAGCCACGAAGTGCGTTCCGAGTGCAGGACGCCGATACGATGGTTCTTGGTTATCACGTGGCTGTGGATTGTCAGAATTGTTTGGGTGTCCACTCGTAACCAAGCCACCTGTTGCAGAATATCATTATCAATATTGGAACATCAGTGAAAAATCATCAAAATAATACTTATAGTAAGTATCTCATATAAAACTTAAATTAATTTTTTTTTAATTTATATGAGTGAATAAATTTGCTAATAACAAATTAATCAATTATATGTAATATCATTCTTATATTTTGATTGATATTTAATGAGCTCCAATTAGGTTTCATTAATAGATATAAAGTAACGCTTTATTGTTATACAAATAATATATTTACAAGTGATAAATAAATGTGATAAGAATATTAGCTATAATATAAAGAAATGCAATTTGATCAAAGGCGTAGTTTTAGTTTGAGATTCGTGGAAAGATGGAAACTCAAATCGAGAATTTTTGTTGTATTTTGCTTTAGTTCCCGCTAAAGTAAAGAAGCAGGGTAAACTAACAAAAATTTGGAATTCTCAATAGTGACCTAGCCTTGAAAACAACAATGTCAAAACAGGTTTGCCAAATTTTGTTCTGGCGACATTTCATTCATTTATTATTATTATTATTATCTTACTATTTCTATTATTGTTATTTTGTTATATTTTATTATTTTTCTAGTATTATTTTATTATTCAGAAATTTTATTTATATTATTCATTAATTTTATTTTTATTATTATTTGCTTCTACTTTATATTAAATCATCATATTACGGATATTATTTTCATGTAAATTATATCCTTTGCACTCATATTTATTTAAATTTATGTTATTATTTATCAATATTACTAGATGTTAATTATTTAACAGTTGTAATAATTATTGAAATTTAAAAAAAATCATTCGAGGATAAAGCAGATTCAACAGGAATTTCTTACTTCTACTCTTATCGGCTAATCTAAGTTTGATGTCTAAATTGAACAACTAAAAAAATCAGACAAAGCAGTCGATCGATGTATCGATTTTTATAAAATTCTTTGTATGGTAAACTAATCAATTATTATGATAGTGTCAAATAGCACTTGTTTCAATTTTTTGCTAATAAAAACCAGTAGTTTTATAAATGCTAAATGATGATGCTGCTTGAAAGACGAAAATGGAAAATTCATTACAGATTAAAGTTTTATAGTTTCATGAACAAATGGTCTTTGATTTTCTTAATTAATAACATATATTCATATTATTATAACAAAATTCTGCACTAACTTAGTTGCAAATTTAATATTTATGATAATCCGCGTGAAATGCATTATAATCATTTTTTATTAAAATATCTATTTTTCATAAATTTATTCATATTACTGTAATAAACAACTATATTTTTAATTACCTAACTACATCGTTTTACAAGAGTAAAAAAACAAGGAGCGTGAGATGTTGCAGACAACTTTAATTACGTTATAAAAATAAGAACTCTACAGAGCAATAAATTTTACAAGCAGTGTTTTTTTAGGAAAATATTAACATTTTAGTTTTCTTTTAACAAACATGTAGTCTTATTTTTTTTACATTTTAGGTTTACAATAGACACGTTCGTTAGTGGCAAGATTGATTGGTCCTGGATCAGAGGTCCTTGGTTTGATCCTGCTCCGAACAGCCTGTTATCAAGCAGTAGTGATAACAGTTTTTACTTGTAAATATAGAAATCGATATTTTTGTAAGTGAAAGAAGGCCCTATTCAGAATTGCTGTACAAATAAATATTAGCCCTACTATAGAAATTGTAATAATAATTGATTACACAGATATAGGACAACTTAAGCCGAACTGAGTTAAAACAAATTAGCATAACAGCTTACTTGAATCCTTCTGATTGAAGTTTAAATGATTTTTAAGTATTTTAACATCACGATATTTATGTATTTTAACACAATGAAAATTTATCTGTGTCAAGATAAATAATAGTTGTCAGGGAAACTATTAGCAAGATTGAAGACTTTTGTTATCTGATTTATGCGGCATATCTGAAACGACGGCAGGTATAAAGATATAAGCGGGGAATGGAAGAAAATGCCATATAAAGTCACACTAGTTTAATTTATGTTCGGAGCTAATGGAGACTACATATATCAAATGAGGAAGAGGAACGTATGCACAGCTAAGCCAGGACAGAGCATAGAAAACCAGCAGAAATATTTTTATTCAAGTAAATTACCTTATGTTTATGATTCATTCAGGTTTTCATTAGTTGATCAAGAAACTTTAAAATAGTTCTTACATATTTTATATATTTTTTATATTAAATAATTCATGTTTGTATACATAATTTGAAGCTCAAATCACCACCAGTTTCCTCAAATCAGTGTCATCAAATACAAATATTTCTATGCAGTTATATTTATCTGAATAATTATCATATCCGCATGAGTACTTTAAATATTTACAATAAATTACATTGTAAATACTACTGCATTTATTTGATTAAATTGTGTAAATTATAAATTGTGATGCTTGCACATTCAAATTAAGTATGAAGTTCCTAAATTGACACTCATATGTATATATATATATATATATATATATATATATATATATATATATATAATTCTTGCTATATGCAGTTGAACTATTTACATTCTCATCTACTAATATTAACATTGTTTGTTAATTTTGAAATGATATGCATACATACATGTATACATATATAACTAAATAAATATTTACCACATGTAGAAACAATAAATGATTAGTAATGTTCATATTTACACTACCAGATATAAACACGTATATGTATTTCGTATTTATCCAAATTATACAAATAATGATACAGAACAAATTCATTTAGTGGTAATACACAAGATTACATACGTTATTTAATTCTTTGAATTGTTCTTTGAGAATATTGATAGCCATTACAAGTGCTAGCCTAAACTAATACTAATTGCATTTGAATTGAAATGGCACATTTTAAAATTCAAATCCGATTCATTTTTAAGTTATGCTGTGAGTTGAATCTAAACAAATGGGATTTCAAAAACTATGTTGAAAAATTTACATATTTGCCATGGATTTGTATGGTACCTCACCTAGTTTTCTCTCAAAAACTATTGTATGTGAAGATCAGCTTCATCTCTTCATCTTTTAATTACAAATAATGAAAAAAAAATTGGCCAAAAAACTGAAAAATATACCAAGGGTGGCCAACCCTTACAGTTAGGGATGTAAAAAATAGATGTTGGCCGATTTTGTCATTCTGATCGCGATTATAAACTTTCATAAAAATCGGTCCAAACCGTTTCGCATGAGTATTGCGACGAACATTATGGCACAGAAATATATATATATATATATATATATATATATATATATATATATATATATATATATATATATATATATATATATATATATATATATATATATGTGTATATATACAGGTACAATAAGTCTCTTTCAAACAATCATAGAAACTCTAATTGGCTATGAATTTGAGAACAAAGGCGAGCTTTCTGAATAGTAAATGATGCCGCAATTGTCTTTCTAAACTGTAGTATAAAATAAAGGTGCTTTATATTGGCAATTATTGCTAGTATTACATTTTAAAACAAAATGTTCTCATAACAGTAAGAAAATATTACAAGTTATTTGCCCTATAGAATTTTATACATTATTGATATATGAACCATATACAGATCAAACTAATATTAATTAAAATATATAATTAAACATATAGACTTCAAATGTAAAACAAATGTAAAAATATAATAAAACTAGTTGGTATTAGTACTTAGCCTTGAGGCAAGTTACATGAACTTCACGATATGTGTAAATAATCGGCTCAATCAATAATAAACAAACTAATTTATGAGTGATTAAAAGTATTCCGAGTGGTTTTATTACACATAATTGAAAACGATCAAACACGTTAACTCGGTGTATTTTCTAAAAGCAAATTTTCACAAATCAATAATTTTTATAATCGAACCAATTTTTTTAGAACGTTAATGGTATAGTATGTTCATTAGGACCAAGTAATCAATTATTATACCAAGTAAATCATCTAGTTTTAATTTTACCAAACGTCAAAAAAAACTACTCATTTTCTCAAACTTTGATGAATTTTTAAAATTAAACTACTTGTCGTAAGGCCGTAATATTTCAGTAAGTTCTATAAGACCATGATATATATCGCCACAAAAAGTTTCATAAAATTCGACTCAATTTTTTTTTTCAACAGTTAAAAACTAATCAGTATTATTCCCAACTAATATCTTTCGAACAGTTCTTGATTTTTTAAAATCGATTTGGTAGTTTGAGCTTAAATGCGGACGAAAAGTTTAACACTTTCTTTCAAATTACAAAGAAACGACTCGGCAGATCGTCCCACAAAACTGACAATATATAGTCCTCATTGAGATACATCAAATGGCTTTTAAATTTATGAAATCGTTTCAGGCGTTTTTGAGAAATCGTCGATCAAATGTTTAATTTTAACAAATGCCAAAAAACGATACTAATTTTTGCAAACTTTTACAAATTTTAAAACTTTTACGAATTTTCAAAGCTAAACGAAATATCGTTGGGCCGTAATATCTTAGTATGATCTAGAAGACTATGGTATCTACTGAAAAAATCAATCCAGCCGTTTTTGAGAATACTTCGATTTACGGCAAAAAATCTGTTCACACACACGCACACACACATACTTTTTCCAAAGTTCTGCTCATTCGATTTAGAATGGCTTGAAAAGTCGAGAAAACATAAAATTAGCGAATCGGATTTTTTTCATGAAAGCATAAACTTCTCCTTCGGGAAGTTAATAAATATAAATAATTATAACCAGTTAACGATTTGTTTTATATATAAGTTTGTATGATATGAAATTGCAAAGTTCAATTAGTTACCATGTTGTGCTTTTGCCTGAACTTTGTGTCTGACAAAAGCGTTAAGGTAAACACAAAAAATCACGTCTGTAAATATACCGCATAAGCCTATTATTGTGATCGCATACGTTATAACTTCTCATAGCGCGGAATATGAATTTTAATGAGTTTAACTTTTAATAACGCCACGCATACACGCGGATTTATATTGCGC